TACTGCAGTGTAATATTTTTATCGGGGATATTACACTAGTGTAATACCGCTAGACGTATGACGTTATAATGGTTTACAGTTATGACGTCGCCAATGCTAATACCTCTGTCACAATGGTATTAGACCCTTGCTTGACTACCGGAAAGCTGAGAGTCATCACACTTTAGGCAGTTTCTATCAGTTTATGGGGCGGTGGGGTAGCTTGATGGTTAAAGTGTTCGCTCGTCACGCTGAAGACTCGGGTTCGATTCCTCACATGGGCACAATATGTGAAGCCCATTTCTGGTATCCCCGCCGTGATATTGCTTGAATATTGCTAAAAGCGGCGTAAAATCATACTCATTCACTCGCTCTATCAATTAATGTTGAGAGTAATAGACAGAATATACTAAACTTCGCTTCCGTGAAATACCATTTTCATTAAACTCGTGAAAGATTTCGTATCAAACTCGCTTTCGATTTACTCGTTTAAGAAAAATGGTATTACACTGAAGGTCGGTTAGTATCCTCTATACATTCCCATTATTGTAATTTTTTAGCAGAAAGATCAACGACGATCACTTCCTAATAATGCCATGGTCAGGAGGTTTGGGGAAACATATTTTCCATATTTTGTCTTTAATCTTGCTACCTTGATTGTCAAGGCTCATTTTCAGAACGGGCTGATAATGTACTAATACGTGTGGTAGGTTTATACATTCAACAGTCTGGACGTGACTGTCATACACTAAACGTGGATGTCATGGTCATTGAGAATTTACGTGGTTAGATATATATTGATATTGTATATAATTAAGAAAATAGTTACCTGCATATGTGGTGGCCACAAGGCACAGAAGGGCAGACAGGACCTCGACGTGCATGACAGTTGACTTCAACTCAGCAGCACACAACGCCGTGTGTGCAGGGGGACTGACAACTCAGCTTAAAAGCTGTCTTGCTGCAGGGGTGGGTAGGTCCGGAACAAATGCAGCTGTTGAAGAAACGTGCACGAAGCTCGCGTGATATTTGAAATATCCATTGTAGGAAGGTGACAGCAATCGCAACGTAATCTAAGTGGAGAAGAGATTTCGTGATGTGTAGCGTATGGAGTTCTCACTCTGAGTGCACGAACACCGTGATACCGTGATGAAAGTGCTGAACTGGTAGATTCTTATCACGTCGCTCGTGTTTGTCAAAATCAATGTTGATGGTCTCAGTAAAACCGACATGTCTGTGTCTCCATAGTAAATCAAGTTTTGTAACAGTCTTCATCACCACTTCTCTGCTGCCACTTTTTGACTCTTGAAGTACAATGCAGTGTTTCAAGGTTCCAATTCCTTTAAGTGTATGTTTAGATGTGAAAAGAAACCCATGCCAAAAGCACTTACAACTGCTTCTGGAAACGAACTTTTCACGTTCGACAACCAGTAACAGGACTTTGTGTGTTGATAAAATCCCAGCGGGCATCCTGATAACAAAGAAGTACATGTTTTGAAACAGAAAGATTGGTGTTTTGTGTCTGATGCAGGACAGCTTTCTCTCTTAAAGTTCCTTCTATGTGATAACAAAGAAATGAACCCTTTGAGGTTTGGGGTTTATTTACGAATGGATGAAAACATATGCCAGAAAACACTTTCCATGTATAAAAAATAGAACTTCGACAGTAGATTGTACGATTCGGACTGTGTAATAATCATCTCTGAATCAGCAGACCTAATGAGTGAGTTTAGTTTTACGCCGCACTCAGCAATATTCCAGCTATATGGCAGCGGTCTGTAAATAATCGAGTCTGGACCAGACAATCCAGTCATCAACAGCATGAGCATCGATCTGCGCAATTGGGAACCGATGACATATTCTACCCCGGATCTTCACGGGTCAGCAGACCTAATGACACCGGGAACGTATTGCGGGGGATTGTATAGACATAATGTTTTTCCCTAATGTCAAGTTTGGATGTATGCCAAATAGCATTTAGGATGTCCTACTTGAAACTTTGAATAAGGCAACTTCTGACCAAGATTCATATTTTATTACTCGCCCGTGGAAGATACTGCAGTGTAATATTTTTATCGGGATATTACACTAGTGTAATACCGCTAGACGTATGACGTTATAATGGTTTACAGTTATGACGTCGCAATGCTAATACCTCTGTCACAATGGTATTAGACCTTGCTTGACTACCGGAAAGCTGAGAGTCATCACACTTTAGGCAGTTTCTATCAGTTTATGGGGCGGTGGGGTAGCTTGATGGTTAAAGTGTTCGCTCGTCACGCTGAAGACTCGGGTTCGATTCCTCACATGGGCACAATATGTGAAGCCCATTTCTGGTATCCCCCGCCGTGATATTGCTTGAATATTGCTAAAAGCGGCGTAAAATCATACTCATTCACTCGCTCTATCAATTAATGTTGGAGAGTAATAGACAGAATACTAAACTCGCTTCCGTGAAATACCATTTTCATTAAACTCGTGAAAGATTTCGTATCAAACTCGCTTTCGATTTACTCGTTTAAGAAAAATGGTATTACACTGAAGGTCGGTTAGTATCCTCTATACATTCCCATTATTGTAATTTTTTTAGCAGAAAGATCAACGACGATCACTTCCTAATAATGCCATGGTCAGGAGGTTTGGGGAAACATATTTTCCATATTTTGTCTTTAATCTTGCTACCTTGATTGTCAAGGCTCATTTTCAGAACGGGCTGATAATGTACTAATACGTGTGGTAGGTTTATACATTCAACAGTCTGGACGTGACTGTCATACACTAAACGTGGATGTCATGGTCATTGAGAATTTACGTGGTTAGATATATATTGATATTGTATATAATTAAGAAAATAGTTACCTGCATATGTGGTGGCCACAAGGCACAGAAGGGCAGACAGGACCTCGACGTGCATGACAGTTGACTTCAACTCAGCAGCACACAACGCCGTGTGTGCAGGGGGACTGACAACTCAGCTTAAAAGCTGTCTTGCTGCAGGGGTGGGTAGGTCCGGAACAAATGCAGCTGTTGAAGAAACGTGCACGAAGCTCGCGTGATATTTGAAATATCCATTGTAGGAAGGTGACAGCAATCGCAACGTAATCTAAGTGGAGAAGAGATTTCGTGATGTGTAGCGTATGGAGTTCTCACTCTGAGTGCACGAACACCGTGATACCGTGATGAAAGTGCTGAACTGGTAGATTCTTATCACGTCGCTCGTGTTTGTCAAAATCAATGTTGATGGTCTCAGTAAAACCGACATGTCTGTGTCTCCATAGTAAATCAAGTTTTGTAACAGTCTTCATCACCACTTCTCTGCTGCCACTTTTTGACTTTTGAAGTACAATGCAGTGTTTCAAGGTTCCAATTCCTTTAAGTGTATGTTTAGATGTGAAAAGAAACCCATGCCAAAAGCACTTACAACTGCTTCTGGAAACGAACTTTTCACGTTCGACAACCAGTAACAGGACTTTGTGTGTTGATAAAATCCCAGCGGGCATCCTGATAACAAAGAAGTACATGTTTTGAAACAGAAAGATTGGTGTTTTGTGTCTGATGCAGGACAGCTTTCTCTCTTAAAGTTCCTTCTATGTGATAACAAAGAAATGAACCCTTTGAGGTTTGGGGTTTATTTACGAATGGATGAAAACATATGCCAGAAAACACTTTCCATGTATAAAAAATAGAACTTCGACAGTAGATTGTACGATTCGGACTGTGTAATAATCATCTCTGAATCAGCAGACCTAATGAGTGAGTTTAGTTTTACGCGACTCAGCAATATTCCAGCTATATGGCAGCGGTCTGTAAATAATCGAGTCTGGACCAGACAATCCAGTCATCAACAGCATGAGCATCGATCTGCGCAATTGGGAACCGATGACATATTCTACCCCGGATCTTCACGGGTCAGCAGACCCTAATGACACCGGGAACGTATTGCGGGGGATTGTATAGGACATAATGTTTTTCCCTAATGCGTCAAGTTTGGATGTATGCCAAATAGCATTTAGGATGTCCTACTTGAAACTTTGAATAAGGCAACTTCTGACCAAGATTCATATTTTATTACTCGCCCGTGGAAGATACTGCAGTGTAATATTTTTATCGGGATATTACACTAGTGTAATACCGCTAGACGTATGACGTTATAATGGTTTACAGTTATGACGTCGCAATGCTAATACCTCTGTCACAATGGTATTAGACCTTGCTTGACTACCGGAAAGCTGAGAGTCATCACACTTTAGGCAGTTTCTATCAGTTTATGGGGCGGTGGGGTAGCTTGATGGTTAAAGTGTTCGCTCGTCACGCTGAAGACTCGGGTTCGATTCCTCACATGGGCACAATATGTGAAGCCCATTTCTGGTATCCCCGCCGTGATATTGCTTGAATATTGCTAAAAGCGGCGTAAAATCATACTCATTCACTCGCTCTATCAATTAATGTTGAGAGTAATAGACAGAATACTAAACTCGCTTCCGTGAAATACCATTTTCATTAAACTCGTGAAAGATTTCGTATCAAACTCGCTTTCGATTTACTCGTTTAAGAAAAATGGTATTACACTGAAGGTCGGTTAGTATCCTCTATACATTCCCATTATTGTAATTTTTAGCAGAAAGATCAACGACGATCACTTCCTAATAATGCCATGGTCAGGAGGTTTGGGGAAACATATTTTCCATATTTTGTCTTTAATCTTGCTACCTTGATTGTCAAGGCTCATTTTCAGAACGGGCTGATAATGTACTAATACGTGTGGTAGGTTTATACATTCAACAGTCTGGACGTGACTGTCATACACTAAACGTGGATGTCATGGTCATTGAGAATTTACGTGGTTAGATATATATTGATATTGTATATAATTAAGAAAATAGTTACCTGCATATGTGGTGGCCACAAGGCACAGAAGGGCAGACAGGACCTCGACGTGCATGACAGTTGACTTCAACTCAGCAGCACACAACGCCGTGTGTGCAGGGGGACTGACAACTCAGCTTAAAAGCTGTCTTGCTGCAGGGTGGGTAGGTCCGGAACAAATGCAGCTGTTGAAGAAACGTGCACGAAGCTCGCGTGATATTTGAAATATCCATTGTAGGAAGGTGACAGCAATCGCAACGTAATCTAAGTGGAGAAGAGATTTCGTGATGTGTAGCGTATGGAGTTCTCACTCTGAGTGCACGAACACCGTGATACCGTGATGAAAGTGCTGAACTGGTAGATTCTTATCACGTCGCTCGTGTTTGTCAAAATCAATGTTGATGGTCTCAGTAAAACCGACATGTCTGTGTCTCCATAGTAAATCAAGTTTTGTAACAGTCTTCATCACCACTTCTCTGCTGCCACTTTTACCTCACTTACTCAGAACAACTGGTCATCTTAGGGATGTGTCATTTTCTTAATTGGTGTGTCAAGACAAACAAATAAGAACAACTGGAGTTTGATATAAGCATTACATGTAGTATTACCTGCACATAAGTTCTCATTCATTTTCTTATCATAATCGTTATTCTTGATCCCATTATTTTCACATCAATGATACCCCCATGTATTGCTTTAAGCCGACAACAAGAAAATGTAAAGACTGACAGAAGCTCAACGACACAACGCCATCGGCCGTTTAAAAAGACGAACTGCACAGCATGATGTGGCAAGGCACTGCAGCGTGTCCAGACAGACCATCTCTAACCTATGGACCCGACACAAAAATACTTGGGGTGTTGATGACAGACCCAGGTCAGGTCGACTAGAGTTACCACCGCCGCCCAGCATCGCCACATCCAGTTGAAATAGTTTCGTTCAAACACCACGCCCTCGTCATCCACAATAATCCAAATCCCTAGACTGCGCCGAATCTCCGACCAGACAGTGCGCAGTTGGCTGTGGAAAGCCAGACTTTTTACCAGAAGACCAGTTCAACGTCAGGTCGTCTCCAACAGCAACGTCAACGGTTGATCTTTGGAGCATGACAATGCTTGGCCTCACGTTGCACATGTTTGACAGGTCTTCCTCCAGCAATGTTCAGTTGTTACTTTGGCCTTCTCGATCACCGGATTTGTCACCCATTGAACATCTATGGGATACTCTTGATCGACGCTTGCGCCAGCGTAATCCGCCACCTCAGACACTACAAGAATTGCACACAGCACGTCAGCAAGAGTATCAAAACATTCCTCAAGACGACATTTGGCATCTCCTTTCTTCTGTGGGTCACCGCTGCCAAGCTGTTATCTATGATCATGGTGGTCACACCAGATACTGACATTTTACTCTGACCAAGTGGCTTTAATATCCCTCTGTGGTTTTACCAAACACTTTCTGGTTAATCATGTTTTGGAAATTTGTAAAGTGATAATTCTACTGTAACTGAGCAATGATGTCATGTTTGAATCTGTTATATGCACTTATTAAGTAAACCCCAAAACACCATGTCAAGTTTCTTTCTTTGAAGAGTATATTTCCTATCATGATTTGTAAAATATCGGTGAATTTAGACATGCATTTCAGTTCTTTTGTGCATTTCGGTGTCAAAATTGTACAAAAGTTATGTACATTTTGGCATTGATAATATATGGCGAATTAGATGCTTGATTGGCCTTTTAGAAGATGATATTTGATGAACATAGAGATTTTTCTGGGTTACATCTAGACTAAAAAGAAGATGTAACCCAGAAAAAATCTCTATGTTCATTGATAATATAGTTTTGGAATATACAATAATCTGGTTGAGAGAAGATCTTCACGTCAAAAGAAGTAATTAAAGTCATCTCCCATTACATTTTGGTTGCATAGTTTACATGAATGATCTCCCCTCGCAATGACCTGCGACCAGATAAGTTATGATTTGAAGTGCGGAATCTTAGAATAGGGATAGAGACAGATGTAGGTAATAGTAAGTATTGTTCAAATTGTATTGATTTTTTTAAAATGTTAATGTTGCCCTCGGAGATAGATTCAATGTTTTCTCTCCATTTTTGGTAGAACTGTAACAGTTGTGAATGCATATATCCCGATCTAGGGACTAGCCAGAGAGTAGAACAAGGGGAGAGATCAGCAAATATTTCACTTAATCCGATATTGTTTAGCATGGTTTGAATAAAGCGTATCCAGGGATACCCATTTGGACACGGTTGATGTTTGGTCAAAATACAGTTATAAACGATTTGACAGTTTTAAGTTTTGGGTACAGGTGTAAGTAAGTTTATGCCAAAATGATAACATGCACTGGAATATATATATATATGAAGTGGGGTTCTACCCAGTTCACCATACACCATAAAATTTGGTGTAGATTTACGGAGTCCAGAAATTTTAAATGTAGAGTTTCAATCAGGTTTCAGTTTTCTTATTTCCAGATTTCTGAACCGCGCGTTAAAATTGGTAGAATCGTCGTATCAAACGCAGATAAGAGACACTCAAGTGGTAAATGTATATCGCATGATCTCCTAAGTAAGCTGTACATAGCCTGTGTTGCGTTTTCAACAATGGATTTAATATATGTAACCTTCATTCTATTTCGATGAGGTTTTATGCCTAGATAAATATATGTAAAAACTATTTCAACATTACCATGTCTTTGGTTAAAGAACAGTTTAGTTTTATTCGCTTAGACTTTAGTCTTAGTAATACTGTCTTGTAATGTCCATAGTCAACCGTAGTTTTCAAATGCGTCAAGTGATTTCTGTAAATCACGTGGGTGTCTTGGCGGACAAAACTGTATTATTAGCATAAATGAGTAAAAGTAATTTCATCCACACCAGTACTTCTTGATCACGTGTGGAATCAACACTGATGTCTTTCCACCCATTTTCTTATAGATACCTTTCGAGGTCATTACGGTAAATTGAAAACAGAAGAGATGAATAATTTTCCCCCTGTCGGACACCAGCATTGCATCAGAAGTAATCGGATTTTTCGTTGCTAATTTCAACGACTGATTTTATATTGCTGCACATAATTTTAACAAATTCATAAGGAAGTTGATTTTAGAGTATTATAACAAGGACATCAAATCAGCTAAAGTGCCTTAAAGTAGAACAGGCATCCCTTTGTCCACTGTTTATCGTGTTTTGAAAAATATCGCAAATGGATATGGCATTGAGCACCAGGGATGCACAGGTAGGCCCAGAAAATTGACTGTCGGTGACAGGAGGCGGCTTGGTATTCTTGTCTCTAAAAACAAACGAAGGAGTTAAGAAAACTTAAGGCTGGATATGATTGATAGAGGAACTGTGGCTGTCTGTAAGGGGACAATTAGAACTGAGCTGCATGCAATGGGTTGGCAGAAAAGTCGAGGAAATCCATTACCGATCATGAAACCTGAACAAAAGGAGCGAAGGTTGAACTTGTGCTTACAGCATGGAAATTTTAACTGGGACAGTGTGATTTTCTCAGATGTAAGTTCTGTGTGGCTGTTTCCTAATACATTGAAATTCTGGACCAAACAAACTGAAAAACCTATGTATCAGCGCCCAAAGTACAGTCCGAAATTTAACGTGTGAGGTGGCATATCTGTGTTAGGGGCAACGCCCCTCTGTGTATTTAAAGGGAATATGAACAGTGAGCGGTACACAGGTATTCTCGAGGGACATTTACTTCCATCTGCTCACGTGTTTTATGGAAATGTTTGGATTTTCCAGCAGGACAACGATCCAAAACATCGTTCAAAGCATTCACAGGCCAGGTTTCGGACCCAAAATATGACATTATTAGATTGGCCATTCTATAGCCCTGACCTAAATCCAATAGAAAATGTTTGGGGACTTATGAAGGAAAGTGTCAGTAAGAAAAATCTGACAAATATTGCTGAAATGAAAGAAGTGGTGGTTTGATATTGGGACAGCATGGACCACGACTTTCTAATTTGTGTGATTAGTAGTATGCTGAGCCGCATTGAAGCCTGCATTGCTGCCCATGGTGACTTGACAAAATACTAACTGTTCACCTGTCTTTGAATCTGGAGTTATGTTCTGCTAATATTCACATTTAATACGTAAATTCTCAATAATTTATGGTTCTACTGTATGAGTTTGGATCAAGCCTATCGCCTTTGTTCTTATAGATAGGTTTCACACTTCCGATCAGCCAAGTATCTGGGATATTATCTGGGATATTATCAGATGAGAATATAAGGTTAAAGAACTCTGTATAATGAGGTAAATGACTTGCACTGTCAATGGTATAATCATTTACAGCATAATCAATTCCAGCCGCTTTGTTTTGCTTTAATTGTCTTAACTGTACACATTCGTTACATGACAAATAATCACCACATGACATTCACACACCACTTACATTCTCTCAACATCACATTCACATCCCTCTTACATTCTCGCCAAATGGTATAATCATTTACAGCACAATCAATTCAAGTCGCTTTGTTTTGCTTTAATTGTCTTAACTGTACACATTCGTTACATGACAAATAATCACCACATGACATTCACACACCTCTTACATTCTCTCAACACCACATTCACACACCTCTAACATTCTCTCAACACCAAAGTCACACACCTCTTACATTCTCTCAACACCACATTCACACACCTCTCACATTTTCTCAACACCACATTCACACACCTCTTACATTCTCTCAACATCACATTCACACACCTCTTATATTCTCTCAACACCACATTCACACCACTCTTACATTCTCTCATCACCACATTCGCATCCCTCTTACATTCCCTCAACACCACATTCACATCCCTCTTACATTCTCTAAACACCACATTCACATCCCTCTTACATTCTCGTCACACATTCACATCCCTCTTACATTCGTTCAACACCAGTCACATCCCTCTTACATTCTCGCCACACATTCACATACCTCTTACATTCTCGCGACACATTCACATCCCCCTTACATTCTCTCAACACAACAGTCACATCCCTCTTACATTCTCACCACACATTCACATCCCTCTTACATTCTCTCAACACCACAGTCACGTCCCTCTTACATTCTCGCAACACTTTCACATCCCTCTTACATTCGCTCAACACCACAGTTACAATCCTCTTACATTCTCGCCACACATTCACATCCCTCTTACATTC